GGGGGGGGGGGGAATATATAACTAAAAGTTTAAAAATAATTCACAAGTTTATACTGAAAAAAAAATGAATAATGACAAAATAGACTAAAATTCGAGATGATAATACATTCATGTATTATAGTTAAATACAATGTAAGGGGTAGAACCCTCTACTAAGGATTTCGGCTTGACCTGGGTTAACCCACGCGGGCGACCCCCCCAGTAGCCTTTACCTCTCAGTGCCCGCAGGAGCTTCGTCCCACATCGACTGAGAGTTGTCTCCCCCCCTCGCATATAAGCCCTTGCACTCAAAGGAGGAGGTACCCACTAGGAAGGAAACCTAATTCCACCCTCTATTATGGCCTTAGGATAGAAGGGCATGGAATCCTCGGGCCCGAGGGTAGAAGAGTGCAACACCGGGTCATAATCCTCTATGTCTACGCACGGGGGAATGCCGTACTTGGCCCTAAACCTATTGATCTGCTCATTGCCCTTTACCTTATACTTCCCCAATCCCGAAGAACCGACCTGAGGATTCTCGGGAGCAGGGCGACGACGAGGCATCTCTAAATAAAGTGAGAAAGAAGAGGGTACTGGTTCTTGAAAATCCCTGAGGAAGTTTTCCGAGGGTTAAATCGCTATGTATCAACCGGATGACACCTCCAGTCAATCGGTAAACAAAAAGCTAGGAGGAAGAAAAGAAAGGGGATTCTGAAACTCACTCGAATGTCAAAACGGAGTTTTTTTCTGGGAAACCTTAAAGCGACTCCCTCCAGAAAGTTCAGAATCAACGATAGGTCTGCTGGCTTTAAGGTTTTAAGGAAGAATGGGCAATCGACGATGGAAGAAAAAACAAAACTTCGGCGAAGATTCAAGAAGAAGCTCTCTTGAAAAAGTTCGAAATGGCAAAACGAGGAAAACGGAATAGGAGCCCCCTTTATATAGAGGCGATTTTCATCATTGGGCGCGAAAAACGAAACGACGCATTTAATGCACACGACATCCCAAGCCGGGGAAAGCGGCTCGAGACAATTATGAAGTACTGGTGGTTGTTGGGAAACCCTTCGTCTCCTTACGACGCGTGTCCTCGGTGTCAGAAGATCGAAGGCTGGGGGGCAGTTGATGGGACTTTTCTGAAATACCCTATGATGAAGACACGTGTCCTCGATTTTACTAAAACACTGTTGCTAAGATCAAGCACCATCGTCGCACGAATGTCCTCGTCCCCGAGGTACCATCATATAGGATCATATCTTCAGTATATTTCACAACCGACACGTGGCCTCGGTCTGATATGTACCTCGGTCGGCATACCTCCCTCGGTCCCCGAGATGAGCCTTTCCTCGGTGCCGAGAGGTACCCCCATCCTGGACACCTCCTCTACTCCAGGATAAGCTATTGACGTACAGGTCATTAGCCTAGGCTAGTCTAGGCTATTCATCATGACCTCGTCTTACACAAGTAATGTCAGAACGTACTGGAATATAGAGGTCACAGCCAATAGGAGATGAACGCGTGGCATATGATATCACATCAAAGACAGACAAACCGCATGTCGTTGCTGACACGCGACTTGGGAAAGCAAACAATTAATTGCACCATTCCCTTGATGAGACCGCATTCAATGCGGTAAGGTTCGAAAATGAAAGGTAATAAATGCTCCTAATACAGAGCATTCATTGCATCCTCCCCGAGAGGAGCACATTGTACCGTCGGCATCCCGATGACCCAGCATTGATTGCTCGGGACCCCGAGCAGTTAATTAGAGAAGACATTCCTCATCAGAATCAATGTACACGCTACCTGTGCCTAATGATCACCTACTGACGACACTGACAACAATCATGAGCTTTTAAGGTATAAATACTCCTTGCAAAAGGCAAAGCGGGTATGCAACAAAAAACTCTCTACTACAATACACACTCAGTGTTTTCTCTATCCTCTCTCTCTCTCTCAAAGACTGACTAGATCGTCGGAGGGGATACGCCGAAAAACACTTCGGCGCCCTTCTAACTTGTTCTTCTTTGTTCCAGGAACCTCTTTCAGCCTTACAGGATCGTTCTTCCTTTCCCAGGGTCTCCCGTTCCCGTTCCAGGTTACCACCGTACCTTGCAGGTTATCCCAAACAGCGCGTTTGATCACTCAACCGGCTCACTCGAGTTCACCAAGGGAGAGAACTGTTCTCGTTTTTTTATATTGTGCAGGATCTTGCACGCACATACAATATTCTTTAAAATCTTTAAGATTTTTTATAATTGATTAATTGTAAACTAGATTTCTCCCTAATTTTCTACCAATGTGTATGTAGCTCCACCTCTGGTGTCGGGTGTGGTGGATAGAAATTGTTTGTTGCTATTGGGAGTGGTACTTATGCTCCGTTTAGTAGGAGAGATGCACTTTCTATCCTTCAAGAATAGAAAATAAGAAAGATACATTTTCTTTCTTTTGTATTTGGTTGGGTGAATGGAAAATAAAAATAACTATTTTTTATTTATTTATTTATTTATTTTTGTGCTGGCTAAGATTAAAGGTGACAATCGAGTCGAGTCGTCTCGTGTCAAATTTGTGTTGAGTCATTACGAGTTTGTGTCGAATATTAGTCAAACCTAATTTAACTTATGTAACTAATTGTGTTATGTCGAGTTGCGAGTTGACCATTTTATTTTTGTATCGAGTTCGAGTCGTGTCATCGTGTTGAGTAGAAAATTTTCAAATTTTTACTTTTAGTTAAGATGAAAAAAATATTTTTTTTTAATCTAAATTTTTTATTTTTTTAAAATATATATACATATTTTACTANTTAAAGCGACTCCCTCCAGAAAGTTCAGAATCAACGATAGGTCTGCTGGCTTTAAGGTTTTAAGGAAGAATGGGCAATCGACGATGGAAGAAAAAACAAAACTTCGGCGAAGATTCAAGAAGAAGCTCTCTTGAAAAAGTTCGAAATGGCAAAACGAGGAAAACGGAATAGGAGCCCCCTTTATATAGAGGCGATTTTCATCATTGGGCGCGAAAAACGAAACGACGCATTTAATGCACACGACATCCCAAGCCGGGGAAAGCGGCTCGAGACAATTATGAAGTACTGGTGGTTGTTGGGAAACCCTTCGTCTCCTTACGACGCGTGTCCTCGGTGTCAGAAGATCGAAGGCTGGGGGGCAGTTGATGGGACTTTTCTGAAATACCCTATGATGAAGACACGTGTCCTCGATTTTACTAAAACACTGTTGCTAAGATCAAGCACCATCGTCGCACGAATGTCCTCGTCCCCGAGGTACCATCATATAGGATCATATCTTCAGTATATTTCACAACCGACACGTGGCCTCGGTCTGATATGTACCTCGGTCGGCATACCTCCCTCGGTCCCCGAGATGAGCCTTTCCTCGGTGCCGAGAGGTACCCCCATCCTGGACACCTCCTCTACTCCAGGATAAGCTATTGACGTACAGGTCATTAGCCTAGGCTAGTCTAGGCTATTCATCATGACCTCGTCTTACACAAGTAATGTCAGAACGTACTGGAATATAGAGGTCACAGCCAATAGGAGATGAACGCGTGGCATATGATATCACATCAAAGACAGACAAACCGCATGTCGTTGCTGACACGCGACTTGGGAAAGCAAACAATTAATTGCACCATTCCCTTGATGAGACCGCATTCAATGCGGTAAGG